ATGGATTTTCCCAAGTTGTGTTTGTTGTTCAAACTTGAAGCTATTTTCTGCCATTTGCCTGCCTGAAATCTTGGTGTTCTAGCCAAAGCCTATTTGTGAAATACACTGGACTGCATCATAGTCTGAAAAGACCCTTAAGGTCCTTCAAGACAAAGGGCCCTATTTAGAAAGAATCTGTAGTCTGTAAATATAATCCACAATCAAGGCTCTCAGTCCCCAAATTGCAGGACTATTTCCCTGATTACTAATTTAATCAGGCACCACAAGCACTTAAGTGAAGAATCCCAAGTAGACAAAGAGAGCTACTTGCAGTCTCTCTCTTTTTATTATCATATGGTATAATGAATGCAGTAGTTGGATCCTGTTTCTGTGGGGTCAACAATTTATTTTAAAAGTGAAATGGCACTGGAGTATATTATGACAATATGCTTACATGCAATAATGGTAAACAACATGCACTGCGTATTACTAGTACATATTATCGTTTCTGCCAAATTCAGAAGATGTTTTCAGCGTATCTTTCTGAAGCAGGGCCAAATATTTGTTTCCAATGGACTTACAAAGCAGAAATGTGGTTTTCAAACAAACACAGATAAAATACCATACAGAGTTATGGGATAAATATATATTATAAAAAGTAGTAGTAGTAGTAAAATATATTATAAACTATTGATACTAATGTGGTCCCAGCAAGTAGTCTGAGAGTTCATGGTGCAGCCACCTTGCTGAAGCTAAGTAGATTTGGGTCTGGTCAGGGCCTGCATGAGAGATCACTGGGGCATTCAGTGTATATCACCTTGAGTGCCAAGGTGAAGAAAAGGCAGGAGATAAATGAACTAGATAATGTTGAGAAAGTGGTTCCCTTAAAGCAGGAGACATTTTGGCTGTGTATGTGTTTAAAATATGAAAAACCTTGGGCATATGATGATCATGGCTGTATTATGTGGGCAGCTCTCAAATCATTTATCCTCACAACAACTTTCTGAGAGGAGTCTTACTGCTAATGGGAATTAGCACGAAGCTCTACATCAGGACTGTGGCGCTTTCGGCACTCAGGCATTGCTGGACTACAACTCCAATCATCCATAATAATTGGCCATGCTGGCTGGGACTGATGGGAATTGGAGTCCAACAACATCTGGAGGGCCAAAGGTTCCCCAGCCCTGCTTTACATAGCAGTGACCAACTTGACAAGTGTGTCACTAGTCAAGAGAATATAAGGTAGTGTGAACTAGAGAACATAAGATGACCCCATAAATATTACCTCTTGTCTCCTGGGAGCTGACAGGTAGCACTTCAACCCAGGAGAGGCTGGCCATGCCTATCCTTTGAACCCTCCTACTCTATTTCTACTATTCTACTACCTGTGACACATTTGTCAGGCCTTGACTGAGTTCTGAGGTCACAGCAAGCAGGTGGTCCTGCTGTGGTACAAGCAAACTGGGCCAGACTGGTGTCCAAATTTTGGAGTGGGCACAAAGAGTGGCAATCTTGCCAGCTACTAATGAGATGAGTTGCTCAGACTGAGGAGCTGGCTTAAATAGATCGCCTTTATAAAACCTGCCAGTCCCAGTCAGCTTGTGGGGTCAGTCCATGGTCTTCAGGCTATGGGGTGATGTGACGGTCTTGAGCCTACCACCTCAAGGTGATGCTTGGTTTCTCAAGGGACCTGAGTGCAAGTGACACAGCAGTCAAGCGGATAGAGTCTGCCAGCTGCAGGTCTGATCTAAGACACACATGGGTTGGCCACTCATCCTCTAGTACAAGGGTGGAGAACCATTTTCAGCCTTCTAGGGGCCTCTTGAAAGAGGCAAGTAGGTGGTGCAATTACCGCAAATGTTATGTTTGCGTAGTAAGCTAGTTTATATGCACATACAACTCTCTGCCCTCCATCTAGACAAGCAGCAGACATTATCAGAGTTCAGAGGCACATTCCAGCCAGGCAAAAACACTCATGGAGGGTGCAAAACAGGTCCAGTGAGCAGAGTTCCCAGAGTCATTTACCCTGGGCACAAGATGTTGGACATAACATAATGATGGCTGACTGGGAACAGTTATGGACCACAGGTATGAAGTTTACGGCATGTAATGCCTTAAGAGAGAATATTATGAAAATGATATACAGGTGGTACATGACACCAGTCAAGCTTGCAAAAATCTATCACTTGCCCGATAATAAATGTTGGAAATGTAAAGAAACTGAAGGTACATTCTTTCACCTTTGGTGGACGTGCCCAAGGATTAAGGCTTTCTGGGAGATGATCTATAATGAAATAAAAAGGTATTTAAATATACCTTCTTGAAGAAACCAGAGGCCTTCCTCCTGGGCATAGTCGGCCAATTGGTGCCAAAGAAGGATAGAACTTTTTTTATGTATGCCACAACAGCAGCAAGAATACTTATTGCAAAGTATTGGAAGACACAAGATCTACCCACCCTGGAAGAATGGCAGATGAAGGTGTCTGACTATATGGAACTGGCGGAAATGACTGGCAGAATCCGAGACCAGGGAGAAGAGTCGGTGGAAGAAGATTGGAAGAAATTTAAAGACTATTTACAGAAATATTGCAAAATTAATGAATGTTAGAATGATGTCAGAATGAAGTTAAGTGGTTTTAGCAGCAATGTTATAAAGGTGTATGTAAAAATGGATTGTTAACAGGTGAGAATCCAAAGTTATAATAGATTAAGTTAAAGGATTAAGATAAAAACAAAGAGGGAAAGGAATTGCTGAATTAACCAATTGAACTGGAATACAAAAAAGGGAGGTGAGAGGAGGTCAGGGAAGCAAGGAAATGAAATGTAAGGTACAGAAAGATTGATTTGTTTTAAAGTGTGTTTTTTCTTCTGTATTTTGTATTTTGTATTTTGTATTTTTTCTCTTTTTTATTTTTTCTCTTGATTCTTTTCTTTTTATCTATGTAATCTTCTGTTTCTGAAACTTTAATAAATATCATTTTAAAAAAAAAACCAGAGTCATTTACCCATGGCACTACACTGGCCCACAAAATCCTGTAGGAAGCCTTCTGTTTAGCAAGCTACATATTCCAAGGCTTTGTTCACAGTGAGGACCAAGAGCTTAGGATACACTTTTATGGTGTATATGTGGAAGTTTCACTATAGTTGAGAGCTGCAAATCCCCTAAGTAAGGAATGCAAGTCTCTACTTGTCCCTGCTTTATTTCTGGCACTTCCAGTCTAGCCTCACATTATAAGAAGGCTGGCAATAAAAGATTGCTGCAGCCATCTCCTGCAATAGTATCCAGAAATTGTGGCCTCTCTATATACAGCATAAACTGGTACAGTGGTACCTCGGGTTAAGAACTTAATTCGTTCCAGAGGTCCGTTCTTAAGCTGAAACTGTTCTTAACCTGAAGCACCACTTTAGCTAATGGGGCCTCCCACTGCTGCCGCACCGCGCGACTTCTGTTCCCATCCTGAAGCAAAGTTCTTTACCCGAGGTACCATTTCTGGGTTAGCGGAGTCTGTAACCTGAAGCTTATGTAACCCAAGGTACCACTGTATTTATAAAGGCATTGTGGACTTCCCAGTACTTTTTTTTAACACAAAAGCCATACCCTGCATCCTTGAACAAGCTGCAGCTTAGATAAATTCATAATATCAGAATAGCACTGAAATCACTGGGATTAGTTAATAGCTCTGAATAGTGGTGGCTTGTGGTGGTGTGCCCCCCCCCCCCATGTCACTGAATTAATTATTCTAGTCCTAACTGGTTTTCCAGAAGAAAATGAGATTTTATTTACATAATAATTTGGGGAAGGGCTGGGTTGCTGTTGTTTTAACGCCTTTGCATACAGATGTGAAGCCAAGTGCTAAATACCAAAGCTCTGACTCATTGGAAAGCTGCTTGGTAGCCGGAATCCTCCTCACCTATTCGAACAAAGTACCACATACCAGATGGCTCCATGGGAGTCAGGAGGCCTGAAATGGAGTAATCACTCAGTTTGCAGATGGGAAGCTCAGTGCACTCCCAGTTCAATAAGGGGCTCATTTATTCTGATGGATTTTGCATAGATGGGAGTACGTCTCCGAAGGATGTGTTGTTCTCCATTTTCCAGATTTCCAGGCACCGCAAAGCTTTCTGTCCACCCCGTCACATTTCTGTGACGCAATGTGACAACAGTCAATAGATGGAAGGAGCACCCGTCCTTTTTACATCTCCTTTAAATGTTGAAAAGAAGAATGCCAGCAGAATTCTGAATTCTTCCTGCAGTCATCATTCCTGCATTTAAAGCGTGGGACTCGCTCTGATGGTCCAAAGTGGAAGACCCCTTTTTCAAATTGCTGTCATAGAATTGTAGAGTTGGATTGGACCCTGAGGGACATCTAGTCCTAAATAATCCATCATTATGTATAATATTCCATTGCATCCTTGAGTTGTGCATGTAGGTGTCCATGTGTATCTGTACTGTGAGGCGGCCCTTTGGAGTTAGTGGGCAGATTAAAAAAAAGCCTTTGCAAGAGGCTTCCAGGCCAAAACTAGCTATTGCAGAGGGACAGAAAGGGTTTGATCTGGAAGTATTTATAGCCCCACCAGGTCAGGTCAAACACATAAATGGCCCTTGATAAACAGACACAACTCAGAATCTGAGAGATTATCATAGGCAGGGGAACCTTTCAGTCCACAGCCCCAAGTTCTTAACTCTAGCCTCTATGGTTTCTGGTACTAAATCTGATTCCTTCATGAGGAACTGAAACTTTTGCCCTTCAGAGGCATGATTAAATGAGCAAAAATACAGTGCCTCCTGTAATGCATTGCTAGATAATTTTTCAGCCACTGACCATTTTTGCAGCATTCACACTTGACCTTTCGATTGATTGCAACAAATGTACATTATTCCTTTTTTTTCAATACTCAATTACCCAGACTATTGTCATTTAGGCACCTGCTTAAAACACATCTGATCACCCAGGCTTTTCCTGAGAGGTAATCCAGCTATATTAATCTAATATTCTGATTAATCTGTTCTATTGATTTGTGGTATGTGTTTTCATTGATTTTATTAATGTACCTTTATTGTTGATTTTATGCTGTTCATCACCATGATTTTTCTCTCCTTAATATCAGTGGTATAGATTTTTTTTTGGCAAATAAATACAATTAGGATAGGCATAAAGGTAGAATTGTGCATCTCAAACTTCAATTAACCTTTCCTCCAGTTTCAAAAATATGTATTTTATTTTATTTTGTAAAAAGGCTTCTGGTGTCACAGAGAGCAACAACCAAGCATTGTTAAATAATGTAGAAACAGGAATGCATAGTATTGTTACCAACCAGTCAAAAAAAAAAAAAGGTAAGACAGGACAATTTTGCATTCAGCTATAAAAAAATAAGTTAAATTATGCAACCAAATGCTCCTGATTATACCACGGATGCAATGAGCCTCTTGACGTCCTTCTCCTTTAGTTCCCACTGATGCTCTGGGTAGGTCAACTGTCCATAACTTGCCAGGGATACAAAGGTGGCAATTGTAATTCAAACATGATGACACAGCTGTCATTCCAAGATGATTATGTTTCATCCACCTTGTCACTTTTAGTGCCAAGCCGAGATATGATTTGGGAAACCTGTGAGCACGGCTTCCTGTGGTTTCCTTAATGTAAAAGCAAGCAGTGGGGGAGACTGAGATGAGAACCATGAGGTGGGTGTCAACACGTCCTGAATTAAATAAGCCTCTGACAGCTCCTAATTTGCCTAATGGAGCAGAGAGTGAAACAGGGATAGGGTACCTCTGGCCCGCCATATGCTATTGAACTACAAATCCCATCATCCCTGATCATCAACCATGCTGACTGGGGCTGATGGGAGTTGGAGTCCAGCAACATCTGAACGGGGAGGGCTACAGATTTCTCATCCCCAACATAAACTCGCATTTCCCCAAAGGGTTTCATGGCATTTTCAGCTGGACAGAATACATAGTTCTGATCCAAATCACAAACACAGAGCTGCTTTCTTTCTTTCTTTTTGAAAAGCCTGCAGGAAATCCTTTTCCTGCATCTCTACCATTGCATCCACTGTGGTTCTTAGTAGCAACAAAGACTTGCAGTTTGGTGCATTTCAGCGCAGTTGAGGACTGGCTCTTACTCCCGTATCAACAATTCCAGCATACAATAAATCACAACTGTGCTATGCTGTAAAGCAGCTTTCTTCAACCTGGGGTCTTCCAGATGTTTTGGATCCCTCACCCAGTGCCTGCCATATTGTTTTGGACTGTAACTCCTATCATCCCCAACTAGTATGGCCAGTCGTCAGGGATGGGAGTTGTAATCCAAAGCAGCACAAGGTTGGGGGGAGACTGTGTAGAAGTGGCTGCCCTGCCCTGATTTAAAAGGAAGATAAATCAGAAAGAGGAGAAAATAGATTCTCTTGCTATTTACCCTTCTGACAGTAGTATAAATGCATACATACTGGCTACATGCATTGTAGAATCCCTTGCAGGAACAACATGACCCAACAGGCTTCCTACATCAGCAAACCACATCCAACATTGCACACGTCCTTAGAAAGATGACAATATTCTCCCACACACTTGCCATACCCTTTTTATTTGCTCTCCATTGTTTGCTTACATTGCCTGTGCTCTCCTGGAATGAAATAACCTGCCATTCTAAGATTCACTGTGAAGTCTCCAAGCACATTGCAAGGCAGAACGAGGGACCTCTGTGACAAGAAATATATTGGCAGAGAGCAAAGGTGAGAAATGTCAGCAATGAGCCATGAAAACTGGAAAGCATTCATATGGCAAGAGTGTTGCATATGACTTACAATACCAATCTTACACCCGTGTGTGGTTTCCCCCTTGGGGCAGGCATGGGGCCTGTCTGAACCCTTAGCGGTTGGTATCCTGGTTCCCTCAGGTCACAAGTCCTGTCAACCATCATTACCTCAGACTCGACCAGACTCAGCTTCAATTCTGTGAGCAGAAGCCATGAATTTCTCTTCAAGGGAGATTGTAATAACAGAAGTCCTCTTGGAGTAAGGGTGGAGCAATGGTGTAACTCAGCTGCCATGGAATGCTTGTTTATGTGCCCAATACAAGACATCAGGGGTAGGGACCAGGGGTGGACCAGGGGCAGAGAGCAGGCAGGGGCGTGGCTGGTGCACGTCCCGGGGGGGCATGGCACATGTCCTGGGGGCATGGCATGCCAACCGCAGGGGCATAGTGTGTGTCCCGGGGGCATGACATGCCACCCAAAGGGGAGTGGCATGCGATCTGGGAGAGTGGCGCACCGCCTGCGGGGGGCGTGGCACCCAGCGCAGGGGGGCAGCCACGATGGCACCCCACCGGGATCGTGGTGGGGGGGGCAGTGTGCTCTCCCCACCCCCTCTTCCTCCGCCAGTGGTGGGGACAGACTTTAGACTTGATAGATCTACCTTAGGGCGGGGGACAGAAAATGAGGCCTGGGGGTGAAAAACAGTCTGTTAGGCCTCTCTGTTTGGCCAGTGGGACTCTTCTCAGGACACAAGCCCTCTCCAGACACACATCACCCCTTGCTGTCATGCTTTTGCAACCTCCTTGTGTGTTTTTCTGGCTGAAATACGTCCTTGAACTCAGATAATGCCTCTAGTATGCCTGGATGGTAGAGGGTGTGTGTGCGTGTGTGTGTGTGTGTGTGTGTGTGTGTGTGTGTGTGTGGAAACTAGCCTACTGTACAAAGGTAAACTTTGCATCCATTGCTCCACCCACCTTCACCTCGATAGATAGAACCTTGACCCGATAGAGTCACATGCAAAATTATGGAGTGCACACACAGAGAAACACCATGCATACCTTGCTCACACCAAATCCCCTCAGAAACACATATACACAGATACTGAAACACACACACACACACACACACACACACACACACACACACTGCCCTGTGATGAAACTCACCCCATAGAACTGCCGCCTTCTGAGTGGGTGCAAAGTGCACACGTAAAGTAGGCAAGCACAATTTGTGAGATTGCACATCCCTGTTGGCACACATCTGTGAAGGCATCAGCCTTAGCTTCCAGTTTCCCAGCATTGTGGAGTCTAAGTCAGCATGTGATGATAGCCTTAGCTCTGATCTTATGCTGGCAGGCTTTCAGATAATTGCATTATACTTCAAATGTAGAAATAGCACATGGGGTTTATTGATTCCAACTAAGAAAACAGGAAAGTAGGAAGGGGAAATTGTTAACTTACAGCTTCCTCTCAACTCTGCTTTCTATCACTACACCAAAAAGCAGTGTGAAAATTATACAGTAGCCATAATAACTATTACCTGGGTCTTTGCTTTTGAATGGCTTATTCCCTAGTATATCCTGACAACTTATTCTGTAACTTCAAAGGGGAAAGCTTTATACCAATTTGAAAGATTTGTGTTTTTGGGGTTTGGGGTTGTTGTTTTTAAGAACAGTAAGCAGAAAGAAGCAATAAATTGCTATTGAACAAGCCATTCTTCCTTTCCTCTTTCCCTTTCATACAGAAGAAAAAACATGTTTAGCACAAACCCAGTTACTGGAATATTGATCACACAGGCTTCTACTGAAAGAAACATCTTGATTTTATCAGGCTTCTCGCCCCCCCCTAGTAACTGCAAAGAGAAACTAATTCTGCATACATTCAGTGTCAAGTCAGTTTTTATGCGGAAACAAAAAAAACACAACCCTGGAAAACAAAGGGAGGAAAAAGTAACAGCAATTAATAAACGTATGTTTACTGCACTAATTAAGCATTTCCTAGAGGGACTGATTATGTGTTTGTTTATACCAGCCAGATACTGCTCACTATGAGAAAATACCCACATTTCATACATCAAAAAGCCACTCCTTTCATATTTCCTCTGCCATTCTCACTGTAGTGGAGTGCGAGACAAGAGCGTGAAAAAAATGTAGAATTATTCATTACCTCGTCTCCTACTGGTTTGTATGTTCAGGATTTTTTTTTAATAAGCACAAAGCCATAAATTAGCTTGTAGCAAAATAGAATTAATTGGGTGTCTTAGTAGGATCATCAAGCCAGGGTTTGAAATCAGTTCATCTGCCAAAGATTTCAGTAATGTAACCTTCACTCATTAAGGTGAGAGCAGAGATTCTGGATCTCTTTGTTACACACATAAACACACACAATAAAACAAGACTGCTTGTTCCACACCCACCAAAAATAAACACCCAATTAGACAATGTATGTGCATCATGCATATTACCCATTCAGAGACATTAGGGGGGATTTTATAATCTTCTTAAAGAGTGCCATTATTTATGTCATACTCTGACAGATCTCAAGTGTTCATCAAAGACATGTAAGGTGCTTCCTGCATGATCAGTCAAAGCATATGCCAAATGCACTTGGCCCTTGAATGCGAAAGTTTTGTTTCAGTGACAATAGCCAAAATAGCTATTTATTTTTATTATGTATGTAAGTTTGTATATCCTGCCAACTAATCTAATCTATGGGAAGAATAAAGATACAATAAAACCAAATATAATAGGCAATTAATGCTTTGCCAAAACATGCACATCAATTTCTCAAAAAAATTCCTTCCACTGCTAAGTAGGCTTCCATTTTTCTTCCTGTTTCTCAAGTTGCTTTAGAATTCCTTTAGAATTGTGGTGGGTTCAGGACTGAGCTTCCCTTATTGTTGCAGCATTCACCCCTCCTAATCCCAATCCACGTCATCTTCTCTCACAGTAGGTTCATACTGTGTATGTGTGGGAGATGGTCTTATGAAAGGCCATTGACTAACCTTGGCCGCAAAAATATGCTTTCTAAATAAATAAATAAGCTACAGACAACATACACTACTATTAGACAAAAGCACATATTAGTCATTCCTCGGCGTCACACACACAATTCTCAGAAGGCCCAGGGCATGCAGATAACTCTTTCTGGAGGGTAAAGCAAATTCTATGGAAGAAAAATACACAGCACCTGTGAACATGCCAGTTTCTCTCATCTGAGATGTTCAACTCATTCAAAATAAGCCATTTATCATCCTTTCTATCCCCAGTTTGGCATGAGCCATACTCAAACTTACCTTTCCTACCCTGCCAAGTTTCAATTTAGCCCACTGGACCATTTTTCTAAGTGTAAGTTGCAGAACCTACTACTCCCTCCCCTGATTTCTCATTGCAGTGGTGGAATTGCAATTCAGCTGACTCACCCTTAATATAGGGCCACCACGACAATAGCTCTATAATTTTAATTTTAATGCGAATGCTTTCCCACACAGATGTGCTGAAAGCGGCTCACGTGATACACAGACAGCAATGCGAGGGCCAGAATACATATCAAAGCATCAGTACAACCAACAGCTTAGAACAAATTTACTTTTAAAGAAACAATCTAGCAATCTAAAAAAACAGTCCATTTGAATAATGCTAACAATACAAGATTTCAGATTCAGCACAAAACAGGCATTATAAATTATTAAAAGCACAATATCAACCCACCGGCTTATCAGTTGTTAAAATACACAAGCCATAATGTCTCTGGAAAGTTCACAAAGAGGGCATGAAGGCAACAGTTAACTTCTGTTGTTTATTCCCAGCTACCTTGATGATAGTCTGCCTCTGAACTTGGAGGTTCTATTTACCACCACAGTGAGAATCAGTTTCACAGTGGATTTATTTGTCTAAAAATGCATAAAGACAACCCCCGACTAACACACACACCCTCCAGCGTTGCTCAATGTCCTCTCATCATCCCTCTGGGCTGGGCTTCTGCTGTGGGGTTAATACACTTTCTGAGTACTCCAACTGCACTTTTCTGTACCTAGGAAAAATGCAACAATCCCTCCCAGATAGCACATTCATCATAACTTCCAATGGTGTTGAAACACATTTCACTGTCTCTGGGTACTCTGTCCTTGTGTGGGCAGCACAGGATAATAGCTTCAGACAGAAACAACCCAGTTCTTTAACAAAGGTCAAAATTGAACTAGAGGTGAGGGAGAAGAAAATCACAGAATTCGGCTGCTTTAGCTGCAGTGAGGACACGGACCTTTCTGCGCTATGTAAGGTTTCCTTCACTTTCTCACAGAGCGGCAATAATGGCAAATGGGACTTGGAAGCAAGAGTGGCATTGGGCTGCTGTTCAAATAGCTCTTAGGATTGCAATAATACGAGGCACAAAAGGTCTCCAAACAACCCAGCACAATTTAGAATTTAATCTGGAAACAGCAACAGTGATGAGATTCCAAGTGGGGTCCTTCTGAGGTCCAAGACGGAACTCCCCAAAGCAAGCAATTTTGACAAGCCAGCAAAAATAAATGCTTTCCCCACCCCACAACTCTCTTCTAACCATCTTTGTAACAGATATTCACCCCGAATTTCCTTTGGCAAGAACCAGCAAAAACTGTTCTATTGACTCTGATAGGAACTGCCCACAAGTATATTAATGCATCTGAAAGATATAATAAGGCACACACAGAATTAGCAGAAATGGGAATCTCAATTTGCAGGCCACCTGGATCATTTAGTTGGTTCTGCATGGATTGCTATAAAATGCAGAAACAGAAAGAACAAACTCAGCCATCTTTCCTGTACCTTTGACCATATCCCGACAGCATCCCAGTTCTGTTAGGGTGTCGACTTTGTATTGTCTAGGGAATAGTACTGGGTGGTTTGAATGGATGTAAGTCATGCTTTGAAAAAGAACATTAGAGGAGGCGAAGAAGGCTCTGTTCAGCCTAGAAGTTAAGGCTGCACATGGAGCTTTGGGGGAAATTCACACAGCCCACATTGGTCTATTCTGAGTATCATCTCTGAAGCTGTTCTCAGGACTGGTGAATGGCTTCACGAATGTCACCATCAGTCACGCTGTTGTGCCCATATGCCCATGCATGGCCACCATAGGAAAATAAATGTGGAATTATGCTATTTATGATGGTGTATGTACAAACAAAGAAAGGCAGCATGAAACAACAGAATCGGGGGTGCTTCCAGATTATAACTGTTTTGACGTAGTGTTCAACTGCGTTTCTTTGCCATCTTGGAACTTCTTCCCATATGAAGAAATAGCTTCTATGGAAACACTGAAGGGGGAATTAGAACTGGAGAGTCCAAACATTAGGGGCCTGTGGGCATATTTGCCAGCTGAAGAAACTGTTGTGGGAACCCCACGCACTACAACCAAGCACACCCCACAACCTTTCCTATCGACAACAACAGAATTCTTTCAAGTCTAAATTCAGCAGGAGCAGAGGCACCCATGGGTATCACACTGGTGGCCCCTGAACTAAAGACTATTCCAGGCAAGCACTCTTTAAAACAAGCAGGAATAACACTTAAAGTAATGTCTGCATGTTGCTGATAAGGACACATTTCCACATCCACACCTGCAACAGTTTCTTCACCAATTTTAATTTGGTGGCATTAATTTTATGGAAGTCCCCATGATGATGGAGGGGAAATGAAAACCTTATTCATAATTTAGTTCTACCAGCATAAAAACTAACATAGAAGTGGGAGGAGGGGGTCGCTGCCAAGTCCCACTCCCTCCAATGCATTACCAATACCATGATATGAGTTTGAGAGTGGTGAAGGTCTGAAGTAAGGATATTCCTCTATCTCTGAGTTCTGTGGGGTTCTACATAGCATGGAGAGGCTCCCCAATTCTTCACTCATGGGGCACTGTAATGGCTGTAATGGCAATGTGCTGGAGGGGTTGTTTACACACAAGTAGAACAAACACTCAACTAGGGCTGTGGTCTTCCCGAAACCATATCATACATTAAAAGCTGCTCACATGCACAGCCACCACTCCCACCAACATTTAGGAATCTGGTGATTACGGGTGTTTTTCTAATTAGATGAAATATTTCCTAAGCCAGGGCAATCTGCAGTAAGCATGTACATTTTGAAAGGGGCAAAGGAGTTCATTGCCCAGATATCTCTATTTAAAGGAGATTTGCTTTTGTTCAGCAGAGCAGAGCACATGGCTGGGAAATGGCAAAGTGCCAGGATGAAACTGCTCCTAATTTTCGGAGGAGGCCACTTGCTAATTACACAAACTGCAGGTGTGAAGAGAGAAGCTCAAAGTAATCAATAGCAGTAATTAATCTGCTAGACTGGAGCTAAAGAGCTAACAGCTGGACATCAGCAATGGACACATGCAACAAGATCAGCAATAATTACCTCTTTAAATATTGAATTTCCATAGCAACAATTAGGTGGATAAATAAAGGCTTGAAATCAAGGTACCAAAGCAGGATGCAGAACTACCAACACAACCCTCCTACCAAACTATGGCTGTTTTTAAAACACAGCAATATTATTCTTAGGCAGGCTGGTCTCTGATGCAGCGGCAAGTTCCCTTTCTGCAACTTCTGGGTCCCCCCGGCTAATGTCACCTAGCTGCTTCTGAACCTCAGATCAACTTCTTTTTGTTCACCCACCACTCCCTGAGGAGAGCAGGTCAACAGCAGCAATAATGGCTCCAAGTACAAAGCGTGTTTTCCCCATAATGCGATGAAATGAACACATTAGCTAGCTTGTTACTGCAAATTAGGAATTCATTTCTCTAGAGAGTTCTGCAAGCCCTAGATCACGAAATCCCAATAGGTAGACTATATTTTCTCTGCTGGGTCTTGCGCTCCCCTCTGTAACAATCCTTAAGTGAACTCTTGAAGCTTATTTGAAACTTTGCAGAGAAGAATGCTTGGCACCTATGCAAATGGTGCCATTCCATCGTCAATCCTTCAACTCCAGTTTCAGTTTTTGGAGATTTCGTATTGCTTCTTTCTAAATAGCCTGCGTGAGGAACACCTTCACCCCCAGCTCACTTGGTTCCGCAGAAGCCTTGTTCCACATTCCCTCCTTCACCCATGTGCGATCTGCTATGACAGCGTTGGGAACCTTCAGCCCACAGACCACATTTGGAGCACCAGGCCTCACCTTTTGACCCACAAGGCCATTTTCCCTAATTATCACATACACTATCAGGTGTGGGCAAGTGGGACTACAAAGGAAGAAGAAGCTTAAAATGAGATCCTGAGGAGAGAAAAAAAGAAATGCAAGGTTACTGTGATTTAAATCATGGCTCCTCTTGTCTTCAGTCCAGTTCAGTCTTTTGCTGGGTTCTTTTCAACTGAATCCAGGTGAAACTACAAAGGAAGAAGACACTTAAAATGAGATCCTGGTGGTTCCTTTGCTGGAGCAAGGCACACTCCCCCTGCCCTTCAGCTGGAGTACACCTTGCTCCAAGAGCACCAAGGGTTTTCTGTTGAAGCCGCTGCTAAAAAGGAGTCTTCCCTCCATTTTAGTAGTGGATCCCATGCAAACTGCTTGGTGCTACTGGAGCAGCAAAGCTCCTTGCACTGCGGCTTCCAAGCACTCAGCTATCAGTTCCCAGCTGCCTACCGGGCACTTGGGAACAGATTTGGATGATCATGACATCAGGTGACTGACAGGTGGTTTGCCCCATTCATCTGCCCAAGTTGTTCCACAAGGGTGGGACCAGAAAAAGCTCCAACTCATGCAGCCAAAAAGGTTCTCCACCCCTGCTTGCCACCTACTTTACAAAGGATATTCCTCTATTTGAAGGTTGTTGGTGAGTAGGCCTCCATTTGAAGGGATTCTCTATGTCCAGTTTTAAAAATAAAGAACCAAAAGAAAGAGGAACAGGGGCCCTGAAATTACCTACCAGCATTTCACACCTGGACAGCAGACTGAGGAAGCATAGAGGTCACCTGTTCACAGTCTACTCCATTGTGCTGAAATGTAGTTCTACATTTGCATATACATACACACACACACACACACACACACACATATGCATATGCAAATATGAATCCCTTTTCTGGCAATGCTTTCCTTCTTCTATGCTGAAGCTAAACTGTTCACCCTAATAGCAGGGCTTTCTCACTGGTGGCACCCACATGTTGAAATGTTCCTTGGGGTTCTATCTATTTTTATTTGAAATAGTTCTAGGATGCCATTAAGGGCAAAAGCCATATCAAGGCAACTCACACGTTAAATGTACAAAACAAGCACAATAAGCATATTTAATAAATGCCAAGCTAAACTGAACATCTAGAAAGAACATCCAGATGGCCCAGAACAAAGCAATTCAAATACAGACTAAAATCAGTGGCATAGCAAGGTCAAGTGGTACCCGGTGCAGAAAATTTCTTGTCACCCCCCACATTGAAATTATTAAAAGAAGGAAAAATAAGATACTTACAGTTGCAAGTGTTATTTTCTGGTTTATTTACTTAACATCATGAGCATAAGCACTTAAAACCTTTTTTCTGCGATGGGAATTTCTTATTTTAAAAACATAAATTTTTGCCATTTTGTCACCCCCGTCAGTGGTGACACCCGGGGCAACCCGTAACCACCACAAACCCCTTCCTATGCCACTGACTAAAATTCAGCAGCAATCTCACAAAGCAAAGCACAATCTCAAGCAAAGGCCAGGGAGAGCCAGTAGGAAAGCTGGTCGGGTATAGGCTCAGTCCCTTTCCTTTGTGATCTCCAGCCTAACTTCTCTTAAGAGGCAGGCACATGATGATCTCCACATGCAGACAGGCTAATATGGGTGAGGGTCCTTCATGACAGTCAGGCCCAAGCCGTTTAAAGGTTTTAAGGTTAAAAATAAGCCTTTTAATTTGTGCTAATAAACATCCAGGCAACCAGTGCAACTGGCGCAGGGTATAGGATACATGTCATATGGGGCAACCTTTCGGCTCCCACCAGGGCTCAAGTGGCCACATTTTTTTTACTAGCTGAATTTTCCAAGCCACTTTGAAGGCAGCCCTACACAGAATGCACTGCAATCATCTAACCTGGGCTTCACTGGTACATGAACATCCGAGGAAAGATCAGACCTCTCTGGATAGGGATACACCTGATGTATCTGCCTGCCTAAACTACAGTGAAAATGTACAATAAATACATCCTTGAAAACCTCAAACTTACTTTGGTGGAAATCTGCATAAAATCTCTTCAATAAATCTCACCACAGGATTCCAATTCTCACAGGCTCTTGTCTGAAAAGTACATTTTATTTCACAAACAACTCTCGAGCATTGATTTCTGCCAGTAGCACTTCTGAATCTCTGTAGCCCGCAATATTTCTGTACGTGGAACTTCAAAGTTTGTAATATTGATTTGTATGGCACATCTCAATTGCCTAACAGTGAAAATGCTATTTTTGACCAGCAAAAATTGAAGCTGGATGATACACTTTGCTTTGCTCAACACAATTCTGAAGCATTTTGGAGTTCATTTAACATAGAACATTTGATTTGCAAGAATTTTCTGTGGTGGTAGGGGAACATAAAGGAATAGTGAATGCTGACATCTGCGGTCACTCCTGCACTGTAGTCACAATAAATTTTGAAGAAAAGTCTCCTACCTTATCCCCTGCCCTTAGTTAAAGGTATAAAAAGGGGCTCCGTCTGCTAGAACTGAGAGGCCAATAATGTTATTTTTTTCTTACTTATTTAGAAACCAAATGTATCCCTTCACACCTGCTTTCTCCTTAATGAGTTGGCTATCGAAAAAACTTCAGATTAGCACCTGCCAACTCCCTGCACTAATAGGAAGATCATTTTGTACCAGAAAAAAAGTCACGATAACACTGAAAGAGAACACATTAGCACAAGCGGGAGATGACTCTGGGCCACTTCTCATGTTGCATTTCAAAGACACAGCTGTGTCTTAGTCCTGCATGTAATGTACACATTTGTAAATATAACTCAAAGAACACAGTACTATTGTTAAGCATCTCCAGAAAAGAAACCTTGGATAACTTACCCTTGGCAGGGCCGGCTCAATACATTTTAACACCTGGGGCGAACCACAAGATGCAGCCCCCTTCCCCACTAGGAAAGAAGGGGTGAGTGAAGATCTACTGTCTGTTGCCTCCAGCTCCTAGCAGCACCACAATGCACAATAAGGGCTAGACTGTTGCTTTTGGGGACACCATCCCTATGTACCATTCGGGCTGATCTGAAGACCTGATTGTGACTTTGTACTATCCTCTGAGAAGAGGGTTCACGCTGAGGGTACAAGACCCTTCCAGGATTCAAATCAGGTTCCCAAGGTGTCTCATATCCACAAACAAAGAGACAGAAAAAAAAGCCCTTGTGTTCTTTGGTGGCTAATCCACAGTTCGCTCACTCTGCCTGCCATCTTCCCAACTCTTACTGCAATATCCCTACCTGGTCACCTCTCACATCACTTAATGATCCATCTGCACCATGGTGCCTACAGTAAACTACTTAATTACCATAGCTAAGCAGGTGGCTTGTTAAATATTCATCAAATTTCATTTATTCATTACCATAGAAAGCACTCCTTTTGAAACCTGCCGCTCGTGCATGTGGCTATTTTGTGTAACCATGTGGTGCCATGGTTATTTTAGTACGTCCCATTCTGCTTGGCGATGCCGCCGTCTGTTCTATCCTTTGCAAACGTCTGCTACGATTCAGTCAAAGCCCATTTCTATTTCCGTCCGTGACTTTCGACAGCCGAATAGACCTAACGTGGCACAAGCCAACCTGGATCCTGCTGAATGCTTAGAAAGAGAGATTGGGCGGAGGGTGGAGGGTGCAAAGACAGTCTAACGGCAACAGCAGCAGGGTGCAAGGCTGCAGGATGGAGAAACGGTATTCTTCCCTTCCCTGGGAAACTGTCTCTTTTTCCCAGCAGTTTTTATTTTAATCATAGAGCTGTACTGGGGGAAAGCAGTGAAAAGCTGGTGTGGGGCAGGGGGCAACAGCTGCAGCTTCCCCCTCCCATTCACACATGCACTTTAAACTTCCCAGGCCTAGATTTCCATCAGTGTTGCTTTGTAGGGTAATTCTTCACAGAACTCTAGCCCAATGGTTGTCATCAATTTGATTTGAACTGATTTTATAAATGAATTGATTTTAGAATGCTGTATTATTTTACTGTTGTTAGCCACTCTGAGCCCAGCTTCGGCTGGGGAGAGCGGGATATAAATAAATTATTATTATTATTATTATTTGGTCATAGCCCTCACATGTCAGTCTGCTGCCATGACATCTCTCTCCAAATATAGTCCATAATATGGCATAGGACTGACTCCAAGAAATATATTAATGCATCCAGCACAGCCTATAAGTACAAACCTGGACAAAGGATTCAATTTTAGGTTTCATCACAACCAAGGCAAGTTCAGTATTGTGTTTTTCAGGGGTGCCAACTTGAATAACACATTGGGGGGCAGGTAAGCCCCATCCCACATAACTGATCACATGAAGCAGTGCACACACACCATTTGAATGGCAATGCCCATCAGCTGGGGGAGGTGGCACCCTCAAATATTTTACTGGGAGGCCAAAGCCCCCTTGGCCCCTAGGAGTTGGCTCCTATGGTGTTTATTTACTTTCCCCTTTTTGTCCTGTAGATTGCTTTGAGTGTTTTGTGCTGTGAAGTGATTTATATCCACTAAATAATAGTTTGTTATGAATTTGTGGGTGCTAGACATTACTGGGTCTAATATATGTTAGAATTTAATTAAGGCTTGTGTGTGAAAACAGATTGCTAGGCCTAGGTGTGTATTTGAGCTGTGTACTAGATGCTTCTAACTCCCTGGTTTCCTTTGGAGGTATTAGCCTGGGAATGAGCCATTAAACCAAAACATGAAAACATTTAAAATAAAGGACTAAGTGTGAAAAGGCAATGACTTTTTAAATATCATTTTCCTTCACAGAAAAAGAAATGAGGTCTCCTTCACATCGTCAATCAGCTTTTGCTACACAACCACATTTCTGAAGGCAAACAAGCTAATTCAAAGCGAGGGCATTACCCATTAGTTTCATTGTTTCAGTCATAATATCACATAGCCAATGTTGATTGGCTAACCTCAATGTTTCTAACAACAAATAAATAAGTAAATAAATATTATTATTAAGATTATTAAGATTGATATTATATCCCACCTTTCTTCCAAGGAGCTTGAAGTGGCGTACATGGCTCTTCCCCTCCACAATTCTTCCTCACAACAACTCTGTGAAGTAAGTTAGACTGAGAAACGGACCCTGGTCTGAGAGGACAGAGCCCTGATTGACTCTAGCTGCAAAGGCTGAGGTACTGAAGAGGCCAGAGATCATCTTGGCTGTGAGTCCTGGAAGACCAGCTCCCTGCCTAGCAGGTCTTTTCCACCTAGCCTAGCAGGGTGGACCCTAATTGACTCCAGCTACAAAAGCTGGGGCTGTTGAACAAACTCTTGGGGGTTTTTTGTTCGGAGGGAGCTTGTTGCTGTTGTTTTTTCGTATCTTTATTTTAGATCTTGTTGCCATTTATGTGGAAACTATTCAGTTGGGTTGTGCATTTTTAATGTTTTATTTGTTTATGACTACTTGTGTTATTTTAGAGTTAGGTGTTTATTCATGTTGTAAACCACTTTGAGCATGGCTTGAATTGTGGAAAGGTGGCATACAAATAAAAGTATGTATGTATGTTGCCCACTGAGCTTAATGGCTGAGTGGGATTCGATCTCCCAGGTCCTAGTCCAACACTCTAGCCACTACACCACATGGGCCATCTTTTCTTCTTCTTTATGTACCACAATAGTACCCATCAAAGCTGGAAACAGATGAAAAAGGTACCAGGGAGGAAGGTACTGAAGGAAGAGCATACGCTGGGCCGTCTTACCCATAGGCGCTAGGGGTGCTGGGCACCCAGGCGCCGGGCTCTCAGGGGTGCCAGGCCAAGAGTTGGGTCCGGGGAAGAGCCCACCCGTTGGTTGGAGCGCCGCAGCGGGCTCTTCTACTGCGGGCGGCTCTGCACCGTGAGTTTGGTGGTGACTGAGCCAGCAAGACACTGAGGCAGATGGCCAGCTCCATCCTCCTGCGTGCCTGGGACTGGGCAACCAGGGGGGCAGATCTTTGCACCCCAGCGCCACATATGCTTAAGACAGCCCTGAGCATACGGCTACAGAAAGAGCATTCACATTGGGGTGGAACTAGCACAGGGCCACAGGAGTGAGCATTTTAACTCCTTTTCATGCACCCCCTTACAATCTGGCAAAATAAGGGGCATAACTCACAACAAAGAAAGTGTCCACAAAATTCACATTCCACCCGTTTCAGCACCATACTAATTCTCACACATGTATGTCTTGCTCCCAGTTATACTCCATTGGGGGTTTGTGGTCCAAAGTGGTGTGAGTGACATTGCTCTCACACACATGTACTTTCCTCCTGAGTACAGCAGACAAGCTCATGCGTGAATTATATAAGCAAGCCAAAGAAGAAATAGTCTTGACAGAAATATTATCATGACATTCAGAAAGATTTCAGGAGGTTGTGACATATTGCAAGGGGAAAGCTATCGCAATTATACAGAAATGTTGCAAAGCACTGAATGAATGACCACACCGTAGAATTGACTGAAATTGCAGATTTTGCACGTCTGCTAGGTATTTAGTAGCACTATTCTACTCTAATGCAATTATAAATGTCGAACTGAACTCTGCCAGAATTCAGCAGCAGAAACCTTTTTCCTCTGCTATTTCTCCAGATTCCTGTTATAACTCTCAAAAATGAAAGGTCAAGCTACCTACCTTCTCTTTATTACCCATGCAGTCTGGTTCTGTGAATGTTTACTCAGAAGTAAGTCCTGTTGATTTCAAGGGAGCTTATATCAAAATTGCATGCGCTTCACACTGAAGTCCACAATCCTTTTGCACATATTGTACAGTACTCTCAAAAGTTTCTCCTACTCCCTGTTTGTTTTCAAATAATCTTCAATACGTTCTAGGAGGCGATATTGACAGAAGGAGAAGCACACCTACTGTAGGCTGGTAACTAACTGCAGCTGCAGTTGTAATATTCTGTTAGGTATTTTTTCGGGTACATAGAAAAATGCAAAGGTGGAAGCTATAAGCGAACGCAAGGGGTGGAAACCAATGCATTAAAAGGTAAGGCTGGAATCCTGGGCACAGTTATTTGGGCAATAGACATCACTGAACCCAGCAGATGTTATCTCTGAGCAAACATGCATAAGACCAACATGCATTAGTCTTAGACAGTGCTTTTTTCGGGGGGGGGGGCATATCCCTAAACATTTTGTGAATCTAAGTTTGGCCTCATTGAGGGGCAGTGTTTCAATATGAGGAAAATGAGAGTACCCCTAAACATTTTTTTAAGAAAAAAGCACTGGTCTTAGACATTGTTAATTGTCTAAGGGGAGAGCCAAACTCCTGGCCAACAATGACAGGGCTTAATAGAGTAGTGCAGTCACTCCCCTCCCCATAGCCCTATCACTTGCAACAGCCAGGGCAGAAGGTAGGGGCGTGGGGGGTGTTATTTGCTAGCATGATAGCAAAGAGATCCAGATCAGGTCTGTTGCCATCAGTTGATGGCAACAAGGCCAGCTCAAGAAGCAGTGGATCCTGGGCCGGGCCAGCCCTGCACCCAAACTGTGGGAATTAGACTGTAGCTCCCATTTGTAAAGAATGAGAAAGATAGCCCTGGGTCGTTTGACCCTTTAGTTCTCTTTTCCCTCCTATAAAAACTACACAAGACACTCTCCAGTGTGGTGTAGTGGTTAAGAGCGGTAGGCTTGTAATCTGGTGAACCGGGGTTCGCGTCTCCGCTCCTCCACATGCAGCTGCTGGGTGACTTTGGGCCAGTCACACTTCTCTGAAGTCTCTCAGCCCCACTCACCTCATAGAGTGTTTGTTGTGGGGGAGGAAGGGAAAGGAGAATGTTAGCCACTTTGAGACTCGTTAAAGGGAGTGAAAGGCGGGATATCAAATCCAAACTCTTCTTCTTCTTCTTCTTCCTTTAAAGAATATATAACTTAGTGTACTTGCAGTTGCAGATTATGCACACACACACACACACACACACACACACACACACACACACTGCAGGTGGATGTTTCTTTCAGTTGCTAAAACATCTTACGTAGATTAAACTGTTACAGACTAACTAACATTTAGAGACTGACTGATACAGTGGTACCTCGGGTTACAAACACTTCAGGTTACAGACTCCACTAACCCAGAAGTAGTACCTCGGGTTAAGAACTTTACCTCAGGATGAGAACAGAAATTGTGTGGTGGCAGCGGGAGGCCCCATTAGCTAAAGTGGTACCTCAGGTTACGAACAGTTTCAGGTTGAGAACGGACCTCCGGAACAAACTAAGTTCGTAACCAGAGGTACCACTGTACTGTGACTCGGAGGCAGGCAGCAGCACAACACAACATGCCTGCTGCTCCATTAAGACTCACAAGACTGTTAATAACTGAACCAACTGAAAACAACTGCCTCAGGCATATGACATCACAGGGTTCTGCAGCCCTTTGAAACACGAACCCTTTACATATGCCTTTCGGATGCTAACATCCCACAAAACCACCCCATTTGGGGCAGTTAACTGTGGCTTCTGCCACTCAGGATATCACTTGTGGTAACTTCCACCCACCCAAACGGGTGGACACATTTGGGTGTTCCTCACTGGTGGGGCTCACCTACTGGCAATGGAGTTTCCTCACCAGTGGAAGTCAGCATATTCAGGCAAAGGGACACCTCTGCCTCATTTCCCCCCCAAGCACAGTGGGTCAAGGGTCTGGATTGCCCGACAAGTCATACTATGGCCCCTGACGGGGGGGAAATTCCATGCTTTAATACCAGTCCTGTAAGCCCACCAATGTCATTAGTGGGCCAGTGGGATCTGTCTCTCCCATGCAATTTTGTCAACACCTTTCCTAACATGTACACATGTGTGTGTGCACACAGAGACTTTGCCGTTTTCCCGATATGAAAGACTAAGCCACAAGAAGTGTAGCTGGAGCAGATAAAGGGGCGGGGGAAATCCCTCTGTCTTCAAATTGGCTGCCTCGGAGATTAAGCAGCAGGAACAGATCCTCGCTGATTCAAAAGCTGCCCCCGTGTCAGAAACCAGAGGTGCCTAAAACAAGATTTGGGTTGTAATCCTTAGACAAATTATATGCCCTGGTTTATGAAAATACGAGGACTCAATTATGAAAGGATGTTATTGAGGACACCTTCTAGTGAGCATCATTATACCTTAGCAGCATCAGATGGCAGGGCTAAAGACAGACTGTTGTTTTGGCTGAGCCACAATACATTTCCTTTTATGCCTCTGCCTCTGCTTTCTCTGGCAAGGAAAGCTTCAGCAATGTGACGACGTCTACATAAAGCCAAACATGAGCCATGCCGCAGTACTTAAAGATCGATATTATTGGCCTGGCTACCAGACAGACTACACCACAGGGGAATAGCTTGATTAGCAGAAAAGTCAGTATCACATCCTTTCCTGTCAAAAAGTAAGGCTGGTATTTCACATGCTTTTATGACAAGACTGGAGAGCACGGGGTTTTCGGGAGAAAGGTGTAGAGATGGCGCAAAACTTCTTTAGCTCAGCAAAGCATTTGCATTTGGTAAGACCCAAGATATGTCTGTGTAAGGGCAGGTTCACACATGTGTATTTGACACTTGAGGGCAACAGCTTCAAGGGGTGGGATTTGTAGGTGTGAATAGGCCATAACACCATGAGTAGATCTTCCAACTCATAGAATCATAGAATTGTAGAGTTGGAAGGGACCCCAAGGGTCATCTAGTCCAACCCCCTGCAATGCAGGAATCTCAGCTACAGCATCCATGACAGTTGGCCACCCAACCTCTATTTGAAAGCCTCCAGGGAGAGGAGAGTCCACCATGTTCCAGGGAGTCTGTTCCTCTGTCGAACAGCTCTCACTGTCAGAAAGTTCTGCCTGATGTTTAAGTTGCAATCTCCTTTCTTGTAACCTGAAACCATTGGTTCAAATCCTACCATCCAGAGCAGGAGAAAACAAGCTTGTTCCCTCTTCCCCTTGAGATATTTGAAGATGGCTATCATATCTCCTCTCAGTCTTCTCTTTTCCAGGATAAAGATATGCAACTCCTACATCTGAAGTGCAAAGGCTTTTCGGTAGGATCTGCAGGGATTGGGATAAATTCATCTGGTCCACATTGAAATGTGGGCCTACCTAATATGGATGGAAGCATTTGTCAGTTTTTGTTCTCTCAGTTTCTGGTTAAGTTCTTCACATTTTTCCAGCAGTTTGTGGAGGGAGATTTTTGTGGTTTTTTAAAGACCTCATGAAACTACATCAGCATTTTCTTTCGAATGTCTCCTAATAAATACATTTTATATGCAATTTTGACTAATGTATATTTTTGCAACATTTTTTCCTAATAAAATTCATTTTTGTCTTGTATTTTCAATATATCCACTTTCATGCACACTTTCCCATAATACATGCATTTTTGTAAACACTGGATGGTTGGTGAACTGCATAACAAAATTCAGGTAAGTGCATATTTCAAAGGATTGCCATGTTTCGATTCACATATTGTTTTGGAAAGTGCAAATTTGATAGATTCAAGCTGTCTTTTGAAAAACTGCACTTCTCTTGAGTTTTCCAGTGCAGTTTTCCCAAACAAACCATGTATGCAAAAATATATTTATTGGGGGAAATGACAAACAGAAACTGTGAAATTGCTGGGGTGGTGGGGAAGAAGTATATATAAGAAAAAACATAGACAAAAATGAGTACAGGCTTTTCATGTGGCTTTAAAAAAAAAAGTCACAAACTGATGTGGAACTGAAGCGAACTGACTTAAGAGCGGAAAAACGAAAATCTGAGAAAAGACCAGAAGGCAGACCCAAGAAAAGGGGAAGTCCAATACTCCATTAAACATATTCACACCTTCACAATACTTCTGTAAAAGACGAGTAAGATTAGACCAAACAAAACAAAACTGTCTTCACATTCACCGACTAATGTTTTTATACAAGTTTTAAATCTGTTTTGAGGTTCATGTCAAGTCAGGAAGGCCTCTACACTAAACCGGATGTCTGTGTTGCACCTAAAAGCCAGAGAAGAATTTCCCAAGGAGTCACCATATGTGCCTGGAACGGTCTTCTGAAGCATTATCTTTAAAGAGATAAATCAATAGTGAAAATAGGCTTGTTTATACTGCTAGATCCCTGCACTGATTGTTTAAGAAGAGGATATGCTCCAGAAATTGCTTTGTGAAAACTCAGAGGATAAGAGTATAATAAAAATTTATAGCAAAGGCCAGAAGCATCAAGACTAATGGAAGCAATGCTATTAAATCCCTGGCTCCATGCGGAGGTAGCCTTCACATATCCTTCACCCAGAAAGCTAGCAGTTTCGTAGTTCTGATGTGACACTGTGAACCGTGTACCAAAAGAGGAATGAGAGGCACCTCCAAAAGAATGCAAGAAGAGTCCCTGTTGGATCAGACCAAAGGCCTATTGAGTCCAGCATCCTCTTCCCTCCAGTGGCCAACCACATACCCATGGAAAGCCCACAAGTAGGAGAGGAGGACACTGGCCCTCTCCTTCTGTTTCTGCCCTTCAACTGGAATTCAGGTGCCTGTTGCCTCTGGAACTGGAGGCTATCTAGCCATCATGACAAGTAGTCATTCACAGACTGATCCTTCATGAATTTGTCTAATCCCCTTACAATCACACCGTGTGGTGTGTTGTTGTTGTTGTTTTACTGTTAGCATTTGAAGAACCCTGGGACTGTGATGCTGCTTTGGTGGCCAGCTCTGATGATGCACCTGGAGACATGTTTCAAGTGGAGCTACAGGAACTTCTTCTGCAAAGCACATTGAGTGTGCCCATCCTGATCATCTGCATGCCAGTTGCAAATCCTATTATCTAGCAGCTTAGTACACTAAATCTGGCCTGTGGGGTTACACGGACACAGCTGCCTCCTTGGCAGAAGGACCTTTACAAAGTTGCTTCCATTCCAACCTCACACTATCTTCTCTTCCTTTAGCCATGCCACCAAGTCACAGCTCTGTATGCTTCAATGGTAGGCAAGGAGGGTTGCGGCCACTGCTGTGCAGCCACTGCACCCCTTTGTGCCTACCCAATGCTCCAGGTTGACTTGTAATCTATCAGTGCACTAGTCCTTGTTATGCCCCTTCATGCAGATTTATGTGCCAACACCCAGGCAAATTCTGTCATGTAAGCTCCAGCGCATTGGATGCCCCTGAATAAAATGGACTTTTGCTCTCCTGTTCTCACGAAGGTTTCCTTCCTCCTGACATCTGTCAGCTTCGCCACGACTTAAAAGCCGAGGCAAGGCACAGAGGGTCCAGTCTCCTCTGAAGCTGCATCCAGGTCCCTGCCATGCCTTCTGGTCTGCACTGCTTCTGTTGCAGTGATTATGAAGGCAGCAGTTGTAGTGCAATTAGGATCCTCTTGGGCTGGCCAATCTGCATTAGCCACTGATGCCAGCTGCTCCATCGCCAGAAACATCTTCTTGGCACATCTTCCTTGTAGGCACCCGTCCTTTCCTGGAATCTATCTCCTTTTCCAGACCACTGCTGCTATTCAGTTAGGCCTCCAGCCAACTCATCTGCCTCCTTCTACTGCGGACTTTATTCACTTAAGCAGTTCTTTTAAAATGCTACCTGTGCTTCACGGCCAAGGTCTGTGCTTCGGGCTCTGGCTGAGCTGGAAACAGAGATTCATCCTCTGAGTCTCCCCACTGCTGTTTTCCTCTCTCTCTCTCTCTCTTTCTCTGAGTGGTACAGATGTTTGAGGGCTTCCAAGGGGAATGCAGCGTCCCTGAGGCCCCATCTCAGGCTCTTCTTGTACTAACCTTCATCTTTCCAGATGATGCATATTCCTCTTCCACATATTCTGCATGTATTGTTTCATTTTCTTCTGGAAATGAATCCAGACAGCATTTCATTCATTAAACACAGACGTGGACCATTTGCTTCAAGGGTTTCTTCTTTTCTAAAAAAAGAAGGATGAATGAATGAACAAAAATAAAGGAATTTGCTCACATACTTTGCTGTACTTCTTACAGCCACTGGACAATGCTGAGAAACGATTTTATTTAAAAGTACTAGGAGGCGTGTGTTGTTGCTTATTGCACATTTCTATAGTCCAGCCAATGACATATGTTCTCTGGAAAGGTCCCAAGATATTTTTCTGTGGTGGCTCCCTGCTTGTGGAATGCTCTCCTCAGCGAGACTCGCCTTACACCATCATTATATATATTTAGGTGCCAGGCAAAAGCGTTCCTCTATAATCAGGCCTTTGGCCTTTAACTACCTGTCTGAAGTAGGAGGGATGTTTTTGTTGTATTTCTTTTTCCTCTTAGTTTTAATGTATCTATGCAAGGTGTGTATGTCTGTGTTTGGTTGCATGTTGCTTCGGGCTGCCCCAGG